ATATGCTAGCCAAAGACAAGGAACGATACATATCACAACTGCCCTCGAGTAAGGGGCTACTCATAGCAGCATGCGAGTGCTGCAAACTTAAGGGGCATAAGTGGAGTACATGCCCCAAAATTCCAACCCCGTCATCCCGCAAGGCTTTCCTCTCAGAGTCAAACAGATGCCTCAGTTGTGGATCAAGTACTCACCGACTGGCATCATGCACCGCCGGAAATTGCCGAAAATGCCAGGGAAAACATCATACCGCAATCTGTGCTAAAAACTCAGAGCCACTGACGAACCAGAATTCCAATCACGGCACTCTTCAGTCCACACAACAACACCTGTCCAGACCACCATCGTCACATCTTCAAAAAAGTAAACCCGGAAAACCAGCGAAACAACACTCGGTCATTGCTGGAGCTGATACACCGAAGCAAAAAGAAGACAACGATACAGTTATGTTGCAGGTGCATAAGCGACCACAGAAAGTATGCAACAAGGTCATTCTTTTAGTAGGCTCGGCCAAAATCCTGGATTCGAGTGGCATTGTCCGGGAGGCAACAGTCTTATTAGACACAGGTTCAGAACTTTCGTTTATCAAAGAAGACTTTGCTAAGGAACTAGGGTTACCAATACTCAAAAGTATTACACTCAAAATCAGCACGTTCGGTTCACAGGCACCTTCAGCGAAGAATTGCGATCTCAGCAAGCTGCAAGTTCGCGATATCGAAGGCCATCAACACGAAATTCGTCTCTTCCGCAGCGATCACATAACGGATACAGTAGAGCAGGCAACCCTTGACCAAGAAGATTTGAACTTCATCAATCAGCACGGGATCCTGTTATTATTAAAGAAGAAACCAGCAAAACTTAGACCAGAGATCTTATTAGGATGTGACTATCTATGGGAGTTTATGATGCCCATAGGCAAACTCACTTCACCTTCCGGCCTTCAACTGATACCAACACTATTTGGCTACATCATCAGTGGCCGGCAACCAGAGGAAGTAGAAACACCGGTCAAGGCGCTCACTATTTTACACTCGGAGAAGGAAAAAGACATATGGGACCGCTACTGGGCTCTAGAATCTTCAGGAACGGATGAATATTCAGGTTCAACGTGTAAGGAACTTCGGCAAATTAATGAAAAGGTGCTTCAAGATTTCTGCAACACTATACAGAGACGCTATGACGGGTACTATGTAAGACTGCCCTGGAAAGCGAATAGTGACTCCTTGCCAGATAACAAATGGATAGCTCTAAAGCGTTTGCACAAAACTCTCGAGATATACGCACAAAAGAGAGATATTCTCTTACAGTATGATAGTATCTTCAGAGAGCAACAAGAAAAAAGAATCATCGAAGAAGTACACGAGGAAACTGTGGCGAAAAGCACGATTATTCACTATTTACCCACCAAGCAGTGATCACTCCCACAAAGGAAACCACCAAAATGAGAATCGTGTTTGGCCCTTCAGCACACTACAAAGACAAACCGTGCCTGAACGATGTTCTTTATCAAGGACCGCTCCTGTTTCCAGACTTAGTCTCCATATTACTCCGATTTCGCACCCACAACATTGCGATGATCTCGGACGTAGAAAAAGCTTTTTTACAAGTGCGCTTGCAAGAGATTGGTCGAGACGCAACTCGTTGTCTATGGGTACGAAATGTCTCTCTTCCACCCGATCCTGATAACATAGTGACCTACAGATTCACAAGGGTCACTTTTGGACTGAATACATCGCCATTTCTCCTTGGAGCTACAATTGCTTTCCACTTGGATCACATGAGCTCCAATATGGATAGTGCCAGGGATATCAAAGAGAATCTTTACATGGATAACCTAATCATGGGTGCACGATCTTCAGAGGAAGCTCTCGATAAATATTACTTATCTAAAGAGATCTTCAAGGGGCTCAACATGGACCTTAGAGAGTTTCTGTCAAACGATGACGTCTTTAACAACACCATTGATAGTAAAGATCTCACAAAGACAACTTGTCCAAAGGTGTTGGGAATACTTGAAATTCCATCAGTGACAAGATAATCTTAAAGGGCACAATGACCGCAACCAAAATCATCACGAACCGCACAGTGTCAAAACAGTTGGCATCAGTATTCGATCCCCTCGGACTAATGGTCCCTGTACTACTACCAGCCAAAGTGTTTCTTCAATCTCTATGGAAGGATGAGTACAGTTGGGATACGCCTCTGGCACATCATTTGCAGGTGCAGTGGTGCTAAATCATCAGCGAAATAACTACATTTTATAAAGAAATAGAGAGAAAAGTTGCCAATTGCGACGAACCGCACACGATGTTCGTCTTCACAGACGCGAGTCAGTTCGCAATGGCCACATGTGTGTCTTAGCTTTGGAACAAGGACGAACCTGATAATGGCGAAATCGAAACTGCCGTCAATAAAAAGGGCAATCACTGTCCCAAAAATGGAGATGAACGCACTGACACTAGGAGCAAGAGTAGCCCATTTCGCGCACACGTCACTAAGCAAGGTTATTCGGATGGCTAGAATACTCTTCTTCACGGATTCCGAAATAGTATTAGGGTGGATCAAATCTCCACCCAATCCACAAATGGTCGGAGTACTAGTAGCAAATCGGCTCAAGGAAGTAAGGAGTATTATCAACAACTTAGAAGAAAACGGAGCGATCACACTCTTCGGCCACGTACCTACCATTTCTAACCCAGCCGATTGCGCGACACGCGGACTAACTGCTGCTTGCTGCAAAGAACACATCTGGTGGAATGGACCTCAACTCATGCAAGGGAGTATCAGGCAGATACACAAAGAGAACGACATGTTCACTGTAACTAGACAAAAAGATGAAGTTGAAGACCTAGATACAGAGAATGCGACTACAACCCTAATAGCGTTACGGAAAAGCGACCGAATTGATGCTGTACTCGAAACGATTCCAGCACTTCGCACAGCCTCCTTGAAGCACGAACTCACCGAACCATAATTGCGAGAAGCGAAGAAATGCATCATAAAGGACCATCAGAAAGCAATGGTCGACGAGCACCGAATCAACTCTCAAAAGGATTTAAACATAAAGCCAGATCACGATGGAATACTTCGTTGCTACGGTCGACTCGAACATGCAGCAATTCTTCCATCTGCAAATACCCCAATATTCATAGTGCCGAAGACGGCCCTTGCCCGTTTAATTATTTGGGAAGCACACCTTCAATATCATCAAGGAGTAGCACACACAATGGCTATTGTCAGAGAATCGTTCTCGATTCCAAAATTACGCCAGCAAGTGTCTCAAATAGTAAGATCATGTCTACCATGTCAAAAGTTCAACAACTTACCGTTCCCGTATCCTGACATGGAAGCACTCCCAAAAACGAGAGTTCAAAGAACACGACCATTCGAACACGTAGGACTGGACTACTTCGGACCAATGCCAATCCTAATCACGAAGGAGGACAAGTCAGAGGCCTACGGATGCATTTACACATGCCGCACAACGCGTCTAATTCATTTAGAACTCGTGGAAAATATGACGACTGAAGCCTTCTTGAACACGCTCCGTCGGATCCTTGCACGGAGGGGAGTACCGAAAATTATTACGTGTGATAATGCACCTACATTTCTCCTGGGAGAACAAATTCTGTTCGATGCGATTAAGCGCATGTTACAAAGCGAAAAAGTAGAGAGTGCGCTAGCCCGACGACGAATAGAATGGATCTACATCACGCCTTACGCACCGTGGCAGGGTGGATTTTACGAAAGGCTGATCAAGTCCATAAAACACTCGTTATACAAAGAACTCGGAAAACACACTGCAACATTCGACGATCTTCAAACAATTCTTACAGAAATCGAAGCCGTATTGAATTCACGACCACTAACCTACCAAGAAGAGAAATGGGAGCAACAGCCCATTCTGCGGTCCATTGACTTTTTACAGAATGAAATTGCACTCGATTACCCGTTCGAATATACTAACGAAGGAAGTAATGATACGACATATCACACTCCGGAAGAGGCACAACAGCTTGCGAATCAACGAAGAGTCGAAGAAGCACTCAAATCTTCAGTGAAATTGACGGAGAAATTTTGGAATATCTGGAGCACGCAGTATCTGACCAGTCTCAGAGAACATCACAAAATACACATGGACAACAGACGTGGCACAAGCAAGCAACCGATCGAGGGCAGTGTTGTTTTACTGTGCGACCCAACACAACCAAGGAACACATGGAAAATAGGGCGCATCGTAAAACTTCAAAGGCACTCATCTGATGCAATACGAGAAGTCCTAATAGAATTACCGAACAGAACTCAAGTACGGCGGCCAGTAAATAAGATCGTGTCACTCGAAATACCGTGTGAAGAGTCTCATTCACACAATCCGCCAACACCTTCATCAACATCACCACCGCAGCATAATCTACGCAAACGCAAACCCGTTTCATACCAGGAAGTGGACGAAGATAGTATCAACGAACGAACAGAAGCCCCCTCCACCTCTCAACACCCCGACTCAACACGCTCCGGCACGAAGAAAACCCCACCTTCATCATTCCCCTCCGAACGTCAACACGTCCGTTAAAACTTCATCAAAATCACACCCTTCCTCCTAATCCTATTTCTTTCCATAAACCAAAGCAGAGCAACGGAACTAAATTAAAGCCACTCATTAAAATGCACAAAAGGTGGAGTTGTACTGTCACAGAAATCACGGCATCGATACGAGGTATGCGCGTAGGACTACTGCCTGACCTACAGCACTCCGCGGCAACAGGAGATTATTATCTTTCCACCGCAAATCGTGTTACACGAACACCAGGTAAAATGGAAAGTTTTCGATGGAAACACAGTAGAAATAATGGAAATAACATGTACAGCAGCACCTTTCTGCGACAAGATCGACTGCATATTCTGCGTAGCAATGATAACAAATCCTGAGTGCTGGCCAAGGACAGCAATTTTCCTGACCGGACTACTTGCATATATGCTGATAACGCTCTGCTACGTTTTATTCCATGTTCCAGTCATCATGGGTAGCCCGATGTTATATGTCTTCCGGATTATGGGGAAAATAGGAGTGCTGACAGTGAAAATGGTAATCACATCAATTGTGGGAATCGTATCCGCATTATCCGGAAGAATTCTACGAAGACCACGGAGAAACAGACGTCTCTGGACAGGAATAACCACACTCCTCACCACTGCACTTCTCTTCACTACCTGCACAATATCAGAAGGATGTCAAGATGTGGATATTTCTGATCACCAGATATATAACTGTCGAAAAAACGACAAAGGAGGATTCTGCACCATAGATACGATAGAAATTATAAAAATTAACTCTTCAAACAAGAAGCTTGTCTTCGCCTTACCAACAACAAAACGAATCTCTTAGAAATTAAGCTGCTATGGAAAGCCCTCGACCTGATATGCGAAAAGGAAACGGTAATGTTCACACGCAGCACGAAGTACGGGCTTCTCAACAGCAAACGATGTCCACATAAGGGATCGTGCACGGGCGAAAAGTGTGAAGCAGTTAATAGGATGTCGTTAATACCAGAACTCGACAAGGTAAACCACCTCCCAGGTGTTACTGGATGTGCGGAAAGCTGCGGAGGAATAGGCTGTGATTGCTTCTATCCTAGCTCGGGCTGTCTTTTTTACAGGATATATCTTACCCTCACGACGAGTCGGTCTATGAATTTTTCCGTTGCACTAGGTGGAAGGAGATGGTGCAAGTACAGATGGCAATAAGCAAGGATAACAGAGAGACGAAGATTCACCACTTTAGCCTCTCACCCAACCAGCCCCGAAGACCACCTCCAACCACTATCACGCTTTCATCACTGAGCGTACCTCCGACACCGTCTTTGAACTCACTTTTCGTATCAGATGAAAATCATATGGCTTTGGCACCACCCAGATATGCCCCACCACTGAGATGTGGTACCTGGGCAGAAGCTAGAAACATGTCATGCGAAATAGTTGAGGACTGCAAATGCACTCCCGCAGAAGTAAAAATGTTATGTGATTGCAAAAATTTAAACCTTACTGCTCATATGCTCAATCCTGAACATCAATTACCCATCATACGGCCAAATGTGGAGTTTCGAAGGCAACACGACCTAGTGGTAGCACGTATACCGAATTTACCTACTGCAGAGTTCATCGTTAGGATTAAGGACGAGCTTCATACAACGACGGTAACATCAGACGCCGTTTGTTTAGTAGGAAGCACAGAATGCACAGGCTGCTACAACTGTGCGAAAGGAGCACTAGCTGAAGTTACGTGTACATCTTCTACATATGAAGAAAGAGCAGAAATCCGATGCGGAGGCTACGGATTCACGGTTCCCTGTTCATCTCAAGGAACCAAATCACAGCTTCGCTTCGCTCCCAAACGAGCACAGTTCCATGTCAATTGCACGGTACAATGTGGAAGGATTCAGCAAACGTTTGAAATAGACGGTATTCTTCGTTATACCGAAGTCTTGAGTACGGCTCTAAGAAGAGTTCTCAGTGGAGAAAGCGAAGTTTTTTCGGAAATTAACTTCCCAGATATTAGCCATATTCTAGATGTCTTCCTCGGATGGAGCGGAACGCTGCTCATCACAGCGCTCTTTGTGTTTATGGCACTTCTGACAACATACATCTTTCTGTCTAACACTGCATGCCTTTTTATCCTGAGATCAATCTATCGCCTCATTAAAATTATTGGGTTGTCCGAAAAGTTTCCGCCGATTTTTGACACCCCGGATTTATCGACCGTTGTACAAAAGATCAAGGACCCAACCTAATAGTTATATGTTTTCTAAAAGAGTAGATCCTCCTCTATATTCATGTTAAGATTCTGTCAACATTTGTCGGAGCTCTTCTGTACAGGGCTCGTATGAAAATGGAGAACCACAGCGTGCATTTTCGGCATCTGAGTTATTTCTTTTACCGCAAGGCCTAGAATGCGGCTCAAGCCGCATGTAAGATATATGACGTTTAGGTATACCATGCCCTAGAGGAGCGTACAGTGCACGACTAGTTTGCAGAATCCAAACAGAGTGAATTTGCCTTCGAAGACCGGCAACCCTCAGGGAGACTATCATCAGTTTAAACGATCAACTCAAAATGTTAACCGAAGCGAATCGTCACATCACTCCTCGTGGAGTAGGACAAGCGCTTAGTGTTTCGAAATCAACCATCCATGGTCATCTGCTGACACTTGCTTTTGTAGAGCGTCTTCATGTTTGGATATGTCGCGAAAAGAGAAGCGCAAGCGCTTCCGTGTGCGACTCGTTGCTCGAACGAAATAAAAATGAGCCGTTGAAACGCATGAGCACGAGGGACGAAAATCGGATTGTGTACAGCAATGAGGAGCGGAAACGATCGTGTAGCCCCCTAGTAAGCCGTCGCAAACCGCTGCAAAAGTCAAAATCCAGGTGCGGATGACTATGCCGAGTTGCTGATGGGATTTCAGGGAAATCACTAACCATGAGCTGTTGTCGCACAATCAAAAGATGACTTAGGAAAGGTACTACAGTTAGCTAGAAAATATGGAGGAGCGATAGACCAAAAGCGACCCGAAGTGGCCAATTGTGAGGGCGTAATCTTCTAACAGGGTACCTCCAGACCACACGAATATTTGGCCACTCGTCAAAAGTTGCTGAAGCACGGGTGGTATGTCTTACCACACCCCCATATAGTCCAGACATAGCACCATCAGAATACCACTTGTTTGGGTTTCTGCAATATCCCTTGAATGGAAAATCGTTCAATTCGCTGGAGTACTGCAAAAAGCACCTGAGAGGGTTTTTCGATTTTAAGTATGGAACCTTCTATGAAAGTGGGGTACTAAATCTCACAGGAAGAAGGCGAATCCTTACTGAACAGAATGGGGGATATATTGTTCAATCAATGGATTTCTTCTTCTAGGAATTTTCATTCAAAGATGAAACAAAAATCGGCGGGAACTTTTCGGACAACCCAATATTTGTCGATTGTTATATCAGATTACGAGGATAATCATTTGCATGCCAGCGAGATTATTCTACCATCTACACAGAGAAAACATGGCGAAATCGGAAGGAAAACTACACTAAAATTGTCGTTATACACGAGCACGATCATATATCGATCATCATGTGGAACGATGGCACTAACAATCAGCTTCTTCGAAAGGGATACTGTTTCAGTCGAGTACCAAGAAAATGAATGGAAGATCTTTCAGATGTCTTCTTCCGATCATCTCGAGAACCGTCTGCGAAAAGAGCTGTACAGGGAAATTTCCATTGTAGAAAGTTCACACGCACGACCCTCAGAAGGACTGATTCAAGAAAGGGTTCGCTACTATGGAAACAAATGCTACGAGGCGAACCAAATGATCCGACAGGCACGCTATGAGTACGCATCACTGAGATCCGATAAGGAAGACCTTTTTAATAGAAGAGGCGGAGCGTTTCACTACTTAGTGAAACTCAAGCAGCTGGCAGCATCACACCGTCAGCAAAGAAAAGAGCTCGTCACCTTCACGGAACTGTTCGTCCTATCGCATGAGTGGTACGAGATGCTGGTAACCGCGGACGAAGTGGAAGAACTCTCCAGACTCGAATTCCTTAGCAAACTGGGAGAAGAGGAGTACGTGGAGCCAACAGAACCTGGAGACCGAAACTACCCGGAACCAGTTAAAACATACCGAAGCTACTATCAAAAGGACGTGACCAGAATGATTAGGCATCAATTCATCAAAGTTGATGCCCTACTCGAAGAAGAACAGGAGGCGTGTGAATTCGCGAAGGCAGAGACTAGGAGAAATACCACACTGGAAGACGAGGCGTTGCGTCAAATGCGTGAATCATTCAGTGATTTGCAAGATGAGATACGCCGACAGAATGAAGACAAGACGGAATGGATTGAGACTGTAAGGGATAGCTACTATTCGTTCATGGAACAAAACAAAAGAAATGTGGAGAATTCTAAACCAATGGCAGCGAAACTTAAAAGAGTAGAGGCAAACCAGAAGGAGAATATCACTCAAATGACGAGATACATGGACGAATGCCAGCACCTAGCCACAAAGATCGAAGAAAAATTGATGGAATTACGTAGTCGGGAAGAAGAGAAGCAAATGGAGCACGATCGCACTAGTCCCGGCTGTTCAAGAACGGGATACAAAAAGAAACACTATGGAGTAGACAAACCCTACTGCGGATAAACAGAAATATGAAACGATCTTGAAGCAAAGCTTGCAAGAATTGCAAGAGATCGATGATTTCCTCAGCTACAATGTCATTAAAGAAAAACGTTATGGCGATAGAGTCATGAAAGAGAATGAGGAAGGGATGGCATGTGTATACTGTTAAACGAAGGGCAGGCATTACTCAGATGCGTGTCCGGAAGTACGACCCGTATCCGAACGACTGGAAATATTGAACTCGGAAAAAAGATGTAAGGAGTGTCTCGGGTATCACTATCGTAAGGAATGCACTAAAAAACTGCCTTGTTTTTATTGTAAGGCTGGTAAGTACCTAGACGACTTCGATCATCACTGCAGTGTCTGCAGAAAACCTGAAGAAGTCGAAAACAAACTTAAATGAAGAGGAGAAATGCAAATTATAATTGAGTTCTGTGGAAAGGCGCTTGAAAGTATTGACTTCAGGAACACTTCAGAGGCGCGAGCGCAAACACGACAAGAAACTACAAGGACGAGCCGACCTCAGCGTTATCGAAGTATTTATGAAGCACCTTAGTTTGGGGCCGGAGTATACTGAAAACTTCAGTATTATTATTCGTTTGATACTTTGCTCTGTTCTCTGATGTTAATGGTATTTTCTCAGCACAAGCTTCACGTATACTGTAACCAGTAACTTGAACAATGCGTTATTTGTCACATCATCACGCATATGTTTTGAGAAGTAAGCTGGCGCCCGCATGTAAGCATGCCGGTGAAAATCATAGAATACTGATTCAACCTCTCTTCTCGGCTTCTTATTCCTTGATTATGCACCTTCATTTTCACTTTATCTTCATTTATAGGATCTCTAACTACACCTAGCACAATTAGTATTAGTAGCTGCTTGCATTTTCATTATATCCATTTCTCGGGGAGAGTTAGTGTAGGACACTTTTGATCCTTTGATCACTTCTTCCGAAGATGTGGTTCCTATTAGAATTATCATTATCTTAGTGTATTAGTAAAGGTTTAATTACCCAAGTTTGAGGTCGTATCGTGTACAAGTCCCGCGTGGCAGATTTTTAGTGACGACTATATCCTATATACCTACACGACGACTTTACTCCTTCACGATAGCTCTAAAGGAAAGGAATGTTAAACCTCATGTCCCTGAAGCGAGGACAATTCACTGGACCAATCTGGCTCGTGACAGGGACGAATGGAAACGTTACTGGCGCCCGCTCGAGAAAGTCGACGATCAACGGGACGACAGGTGATACAGGTGGTGGTAATATGGTTACGATGTAAAAGTTTTGAAGTCTTTCGGTGTCAATCATTGTCATTCGACTCCGTTTTGAGATGCACTCCGCATTCGACTTCCATTCAGAATCTAATGGGGAGAGGTGGTGGAATGCGTAGGTGCGTAGGTGGCCTGTACAATGAGTTGCGGTTTTCATCCGATGTACAAGTGAGCACTTTTATCCTCTCATGCAGGGTTAGCCGAGCCCGAAGGGTGGAAGGCTTGGTAGGACTGAGCTGGTATCGAGCCGGGGTTCAATACATTAACCATGCGTGAGGTAGAGTGGGTTAACTGCAACTACACCAGCTAGGAGCTAGATTCTACGGTAATAAAATAGTAAAGTCCCTATGAGTATAAAAGTTCAATAAAAGCGATTGAATATGTGAAGGTCGAAAAATTATCTCATCAGTTAATCTGATAGCAGTTGCCTGGCACCTTAAACGGCGCCAAAGTAAGTTGTTCGGAATATAGCTATTCTTTTGGACCGCAAGTCGGTAGCTTACCATACATAATTCCAACAATACAAGCGATAGGTAGATTGACATATGAATAATTGTTGTCCCATATAACCATTTTCTTATTGTAAAATTTCTTTAGCTCTTTATCTGACAGCCCTGGAGGGGCCGAATATTCCCTCATCATTTTATGTTCTGCCATTTGAGGGGCGACGATCGACCTGAACTGCAATAGAATTGTAGGTCATCAAGTATATTCTACTATGAAAAGGAGGTAACAGTAGTGTTACTATTAAATAACATCGAGTTGATGAAATAATAGGAAAGCCCTACCTTGCCGTATTGCAGGCGGAGAGAATTAACATTAATGGCTCAACGCTTATTTCAAGTGACTTCAGCCATAACCAAAATTCCTTGGCGTATGAAGGCATAAAATATTCAGCGCCGAAAATCCACCCTGGAATTATAGGACTCAGGGCGCCAAGAGGCAGTGAACGAGTGCAAAAAATTTTGCTGGAAATTGCCGAAACGAACGAAAGATCATGAAAGAAGAACACCATCGAGCAGTGCAAATCAACCATGAGAACGTCCTTTCAATCTTTTCGAAAACAAGACTTCATTTGATATTATGAATGGTGAAAGCTAAAATCAGAAATTCATGTATGCACGAACTGTCTGAGCAGAAACCGGTCATTTACGAAAGAATTCCTTCATCATGTAGCTGTAACAGGTTCTGAGTGAAAAGATATTTATGAAGAAAGTGATATTGCACAACATGTTGTCGAAGAAATTGAAATTTTAAACCACCAAGAGAGTAGAGATCAGGAAAGCAATTCGTAACTGAAGATGCATATTTGCATATTCGTACTGGGAAAACAATCGATCTCCCATCTGCGATCTCATTACCACACGGCAGCTATACCTGTTGGCACTCATCCAAAACTTCCAAATTTCTTATGCATATGTTAGATAGGCATCGGATAAAGTATTTCTGCTGGGAAGAAGAGGAAAGCTAAGAAGTGGCTCACTCTTTCAGTTTTACATTTACACATACAAAATCAGCATTGTAGGTGATGATGTACACTGTAACTTCTATGAATCATCTTAGCTTCAAGAAGATAGGCTCTACTGAGCTGTGAAAAAGAGTTCCTTGGAGACACTTGCCGTAAACTCAATACTATCAAATAGGAAATGCAAATGTCATCAAATAAATGCACTTCACCTCTTTGAACTCCTCACGGATGCTCTGAAAACCATCTTGAGCTATTATTATACTTATGAAATCTACAAACAAATTTTACCCATTTCAATATTTATAAAATGCAACTTGAACACAATTTTGAGAGGGTCAAGGAGAAACTACGATTTCTTGTTCATTATCGATCATTGGCATAAAATGATGTGGGGCCTAGACCGGAATTGTTTCGTAGTTTATGGCAAAGAAGAGTAAGTTGAAAGGAAAAAAGAGATGGGTACGAAACAGACAATTGGGAAAAAACTTAGATAAAAATAACTTAGGAAAAAAAAGATTCTGGACCATATGGGAAGAGCGACTTTTTGTAGTATGATTCATTTTCCCCATTGGGCTTTGTGTATTGAAAAAAAGCATATGCGTGCTCCACTGCATGAGGTTTAGTAAATAGACGCTCTAAAAATGTAAGGGAAACTGGAAAAGTACTGCTCTGGTTTTCGAAATTACTGTCATTCTAGTACAGACAACACGTTGTCATTTTTCAAAGTATTCTGATTGAAAAATCTAGCAAAATTCTAGCAGTAAGCTTAGTGTCTACACCGAAGGTTGAAGTGAAATGTTGAAATGCCCACGAAAGATCAATGCCCATCATCAAACTAGTTTTGGACGTTGAACATAGGCGCCTAGGCGCTCCCATAATACCAACATAATGTACATAAAACTCATATATCCATGCAAAATAGAATTCCTTTGAATATCACTTGAAAGATTCTTCTCGAGGGAGGTAGCTCCGAGACTTACTGCTTACTCGCCTTGGCTTATGTATGATCCTTCATTCAGATTGTTATGTTTCTAGTTTATACTAGACACCGGTGACGAAATGACTGCTTCATCCACTACGATATTTTTATTATGTTCTGTAAATATTAAAAACTTCTAGAATGAATTAGTTTATTTCCGACGGGGAAGCCATCGAAAAGGTCCAGGACTTCCGCTACCTAGGGAGTGATCTAGCCGTTGATGGGAGCGTGGACCAGGCCGTAAAATTCCGAATAAATGCGGCATGGATGAAGTGAAGGGAGTCCACCGGTATCCTCTGCGACCGTCGGTACTCCACGACTCTCAAAGGGAAGGTGTATCGGACAGTGGTAAGGCCCACGACGTCCTACGGCAGCGAGTGTTGGCCCGTGAGTAAAGCCCATGAAGGACAGCTAAACTCCGCTGAAATGAGAATGCTCAGATGGGCCTGCGGCTGGACGCGGCTGGATCGGGTCAAAAATGAAGACGTCAGGACGGCTATGCAAACAGCCATAGTTCAACTGAAGATTAGAGAGCAGCACCTGCGATGGTTCGGGCATGTACTAAGAGGCCACAGAGCCATCCGATAAAGGAAGCAATGGAGTTCGAGGCTCAAGGAAAGCGACCACGAGGAGCCCCAAAAAAAGAGATGGCGGGACGTGATCAAGAAGGGCCTCGCCGAAGCCAGGGTGACGGCAGAAGATGCCGTAGATAGAATGAAATTGAGACGGCTGACAAGAACAGCGGACCCTGCGACGGCGCGGGATTGAAGCTAGGGAGAAGCAGAAGAAGAAGAGTATGAATTAGTTTAGGGACCTGTAGTAGGACATTTCAACATAGCTGTCTCTAGAAAGGTCACCTCTCGCAGACCAGGTGATCGGTGATAAACCGTTGAAACTACGTTCCTCGCCCGCCGTTCATTCTTTTGAGCCTGGGAAACTTGACAAAGTGTAAAGTCACTGTATCGTTAACAAAGATGATGATATCGATATGAAGCTATGTAGTTTACGCTTCCAAACAGAATCAAAGCAATGTTCACTTAGGCATCTAAAGAAGAAATGAAAAGAGATCGTCATAGGAGGTACACAAAATCATTTGTTTGCTTGAGGATAAACAGGCTTCTTTAATACAAGCCGTTGTACTTTCTTGACATGTAGTTTTATTAGAGAGTAAAGGATAAAATCTTGGTCGTTAATGAATCCCTATTGGGATGAACCCCTGCACTCGACAGCATGCAATGACTTGCTCTGGCCAACCGATGTACACTGCTTTCATCCTCTCAGACAAGTCTGGGGCCATTTACCGGCCCCGGCCGTTTCTAAGGTTTGATTGGCCCAGGCAGTTATCGCTAAAAAAGTCAACATCTTGCTCAGAAAGTTTCATGATGGACCAAAAATGCGACACCTATCACAACTACACCTTACTCGAAAAAAAGGTGGAAAACGAGGGTTGGCATCTTTTGAAAAGTTAGGTACTACGTCAGGTACTACTAATTTCCATTATTTCCATCCCGAAAAGCAACATTGCAGAATCAAGGTAGACTAGAACGGTGTAGAGAAGGTTCTAATGAACAGAGAATTAGAACAGCCACTAATAGAGCCATCAGGAATTCCTAGATGAGGTCGGTTCCAGGCAAGATAGAAGTGCAGTGTAGTTTCCGTTGATTTTACCCATGCTGCCTTATACTCATTTCCTTTATTAGCCATCGAAGATTGCTGAACTTTCCGAATAAACCAAATCCATACTTCCTCGAGAGCACAACCGTAAACAGAAACGACATAAATGAAGATTTCAGTGGTAACGAAGTAAGGCACAATGGCGGTCATGAGTTATTAGATGCTATCATGTGTAAAACCATCCTTCTCAATCTCAGAAGTGAAATAGAATCTTTCAATTCTCGAGGTAGGAAAGTTTTTTTTCTAGTTATATGATGAGAAAGTTACTTTTCCAGAGCTACGCTCTACCACATCGCAGCTTGTAATGCGTAACTTCCAATTGCCTTGTGACATTGGCTGCTTTCATAGTCCGCCGGCGTGCCAGCCGAGGTAGTGC